CCCCCCCGTAGCTGACAGGCACATGGGTGCATTACCTCGACTTTAAATAACTTTCTCCACTGTCCTCTATTGTAAAATAAGGAGGCTACAAGCTGTATCTCCCCTGTGCTAGGGTCATATCCCTGATAGGCTTCAACAAGCCATCTTTGTGTGTTTGTGTGTATGTGTGTACATACCATTTGTTCAGACTTCTCTGCCTTGTCCTTGATGTCTTTGATTTTGCCAAAGAGCTGCTGGATGGCTATCTGGGCCTCTTCCAAAGCCTGCCCAAAAATAAACAGGGGAATATGAAAAATACAGAGACGATTGCTGCACAAGAATCACCGATAATGTGTTTATGTCTGTTTTCTTGGGAGTGGGCCACACTACAAATCAGTGGTCTGAATGTGGTTTGAAAATTTGGGCCCAAGGAATTTTTAAGGCCGAAGTCCAGCTCAACCCATCTCTAAGCAAGTAGACAGCAGGAAGTGGAGGAATAATGTAAAACCAAACAGAACTGAGAGAAACACATACTGAGAGTAGAAGAAAGAAAATAATACATGCTGGTCAGCCAGTAGAGCATTTAGAAGTCAAACAGTATGGACACAAGAAGATTAAAAAAAGTATTCTGCGGTTTGTTTCCTCCAAATGAGATCCAATAGAGGTGTGTGTGTGTGTGTGTGTTTAAGGTCATACGTTTTTCTTCCATCTCTTACAAATTAATTTTCTTACTATACCTTCATACACCAAGCTATAATGTACCGCACTGTGCATTAATTGTGAATAAAGGAACCTAACTAATGCACATTAAATTGCCTTCTGGTGTCTGTTAAAAATTAAAAAATGAAACAAAAGGGACAGTCTGGATTTTCTCCGCAAATTCCACAAATTCACTGGCAGGCAACATGAAAACCTTGTCAGAAGCTGATTTATTTCTTATTCTGCTTTTAATCAAAATATATCACCCCACGCATATAATACTTTGTTGTAACAGCGCAGTGTAAGGAATAACTGTGTGTCAGTTGTTGAGTACCAGTCTGGGTCAAATTTCCAAAGAATTTTTTTTATTATTATTATTATTTTTTTTAAAATCCACACTCACCGCTGGCCTTGATCCATGTGAAAAATTATCTGCTTATGTCCGTTCGCAGTTCTAGACCAGGGACAACGCCAAACACACTAATTGGCCGTCTAATTGACGAGCTCTCTAGATATCTTACATGGAGAAGTCTTAGGTTGACACATGAGCCATAAGGCTAATCTCTCCATAAAGGCTGTCACCATAAAGGCTAAAGAGGTTATTAGCAGTTTTAACAGCCTATAAAGCCAGACAGGATTAGATAACCCCAGACAGTTACATCTGTAAGATGGTTAACGTGCTATTCTAATATTTCCCCATCATCTGACATGGCAGCTGTTCTTTGATGGTCCTAAACAGAGATTGCGCGCTGACATCTGATGCCAAGGTAATTGGCTTCACTTGGCCCGATACTGTGGCGGCACTGCGACACAACTTTGACTCTTCTCACACACACACACACA